CTTATTCTCGGGTACACGTAAAAGATGATAGAGGCCAGTGAGCTTCTGATGATCAACTTTGACCGCCTAGCAGGTCAAACAACCATGTATGTACTTCTCAACATCTGACTTCATCCCAGGCCAAAAGAAATGCCTCTTCACCAATATATACGTTCTCAATACCCCCGGATGCCCAACACTTGGCACATCATGACACTCAACCAAAATCTGTTTGATGAGTTTGTCAACAGAAGGAACCATTACACGTCCCTTCTTCACCAGAATTCCATCTCGTATTTCGAATGACGCAAACTTGTCACCCTTCAAATCCGTAGAGGCGTCCCTCAACAAAACCTTCGCGCGAATATCAGTGATGAAGGAGTCGAAGTCATCAAACTCCTTAAGCTCATTCAAGAGATCGCTGGATAGCTTCACAAACGAGATGGAATTTACCATCCTGGATAACGCATCAGCCACCTTATTGTCACCTCCATGCTTGTACCGGATCTTAACAGACATTTCCTGCAGGAACTCTTGCCAACAAGCAAGACGGCCTCAAAGATCCACATCTGGAGAGACTGATGATCTGAATCTACATAGAAGTCCGATCTATATAGATAATATTGCCATTCTCGAGTAGGTCAATGCTGCTGTGTGACATCAAACTTGTGGCTCATGAAGGCAAGAGAATGCCTAACTTGAAGCAATACGGCCTCAAAAGCACTATTACTCACATCATTGCCTATAATTTCCACCACAGTCACCTTATCATTCATTGACCCCTTCAGAACAATCCTTGCTCTGATGTCCAGCTCTATGGCAACGAAAACAATTGCCCTCCGCCTTGTCTTTCTCTCGCTGGTCCAAACGAAGTTTCTTAGCTTCACTGCCATCTTCATGCTTCAAGCCACAACGGAATAACGACTGTTTCTTCCCCGAATATGAAGAATTAGCAAGTTGGTCATCACGTTGACTACTCCGTGGACTATCTTGTTGACCAGAGTTGACCAAGTTGACTGACGGTTCGGGTGAAAAGATCTGAGCCTTAGTGATAGCATCAGTCAATGTTGCTGGAAAATCCTTCTTGACCTTCTGCTGCACATCCACCGAGCTCAATCCTTTGATAAAACATTGCACCTTTAGCAGTTTATTATAGGTGCCCATGAGACTAAGGCAAAGATCACGGAACTTGCGGGCATACACATCCAAAGACAAAGTCCCTTGCCGGATCTCTAACAACTAATTCACGAAATCAACCTCTTCAAACTTCTTGACAAACGAAGCGCGAAAAACCTTTGTCAAAGCAGTCCAAGAAGTCGGCTTCGGATTAGCTTTGATGTAGTTCTTCCACCACGAAGAAGCATGGCCCGTAAGCTTCGTCACAAAGAAATCTATCTTCACCTTATCCTCACAAGGATTGTGAAACCAACAACTTTCCCACAATTCCAACCAAAAATTAACCTTTTGACTATCACAAACATCCAGTGATGATTTCCATTCCATAATACCATAATCCTTGGCATGCTTGACGTACCAATAGTAATCACGGACATGAGATCGATTCAATCCTTGAGGGTCCATGCGAAGCAAGAAATCCTTAATTAGATTGACGGAATCCTTAACCTCCTTTATGTCGCTCTGAACCGCAGAAATCTGGCATCCTTGCCGTAGAACAATATCATCAAGAGTCTTTTCCGCATTGTCATGGCTATCATCACTAACGCCATACTCTTCATCAAGATCAATATCTTGCTCTCCCGCCATCCCCAAAAGAACGTGCTACTCCGATACCAATGAAACGAACAAGAGAGTGAACCCTAGGCCAACCTCCTAACCCTTAAGGCGTTACGGCCTTAAATCCCACCGGCCATGGAATATTCTCGAAATATTCCCATGGTTCGTGTTATAGTAGTTTGATTCTATCCTTTTATTCAGTGGCTCAAGGCCTTGAAACTTAAGTTTTACTCCACTGCCTTTAGCCTATATGCCTAAAGGTTTAGGTTTCGCATTATAGTTATTTTATAGTAAATCATCATAGGGTAAAAAGGGGAAACCATATACATTATAACCAATTGTTTGATCATGATCATCATTAGGGAATTTACTATTGACTCCATTGTTATTATTACCACTGTTAAACTCACTCTTAGAAGGATTATTCACTATAGTATTCTTAGTAGATTAAGTTTTCTTTATTTCTCAACATTTTTCACCATAAATGGTCATTAAAATATTAGATATTTTTGCTTTATAGATAGCTTGAAAGAAGATCTCTATCCTTTTTCCAGTAGGAAAATTTCATCAATCAGATTGTCTATATTTTAGTTTTATTTCCCTCTTAACAATTTATTTTTATAATCACATCTACTTTAGAAGAAAAGGATTTTCATATCCTCTTTGTCTATGATGAATTGTGCTAACTCAATTGTTCCAGACTAAGCTCATATAAACTTGTTCTTCCCTAGTAAGACTTTGTCTCCTGCTGTGAATGCATTGATAAAACATCAATTCTAAAATCTAAATTATACATACCTTATAATCATAAACCTTCTATCTTTCATGATCACATTCGAGTTATCTTTTTATGGATCATAAAAATTTCTCTCTCTAACATAAATGTGATATAACTTGTACTCAAAGTATGAATAGTGGTTAACTTAACATAAGTTATAATTGCTCCAAACTTTGTTAGAATTTATAAGTTTTATCAAAGCTTATAATCAATCCTAATAGTGTTCTATAATGCCTGGATTTATAATTGCAATCTACAATATATAAATTCACAAGTTCTTTAAATTTTATGACTTTTTACCATATTGTGTTGTAATTCTAATCTATTTACTCTAGATTCTTCCCTAATTCAAGCTATAAAACATATTAAACTAAATTGAGAGATATAATATCACACTAAAAGAAAATTTACCTCTTTTTTTGTCATTTTAAAAGTCATCTTATGTATGAAGCTCTTTAGGGAAAAATTCAATAATGGTTAAAATCATGGTCTATAATTAAGTATATATTCCTCTTTAAAATATTTTCATCTTGGTCACACACAAACACAAAGTATATCTTTTTACACACATCAAATATAGAGTGTATCTTTTTACTTCATTTTAGCTAAAGGTTGTCAACACAAAAAGCTAGTGTATAGATTTAAAATAACTATCTATATATGGAGTGTATCTAAAGAAAATAGATCTCACCAATCTAGACATTTTATACATCTCCCACACCTTAGCAAAAGTATTAACTGTTAGCAGTTTTAGGCTTTGCCTTCAACAAAGAGAAGGAGAAGATTATTATTTCCTTGGCATATAGCTCCATTTAGTGATGTAAAAGTAATGTTTGAAGCCTCTTTACCTTTAAAAGCACAGTTGTTTCAAAGTTATAAAGTAGTTTAAAAAGTATATACAAACTTCTAGTAATATTTGTGATTATTCAATACTCTTATAAACATAAATGTTAGTGCCAATAACCCTAAAAATAGAGTCTACAATCCCTAAAATATTGTAACTGTTTTTTATTATAGTCAATATATCCTCCTAGCATCAAGAAATGGATGTTAGTGATATCAAATGACTAATAAAGGAGAATCTAGAAGACACTAGGAATTTAGCCTTGTATGATTTAAATGTTTTCCCCAATGCAATCTCATGATTCTCTTTGATAATTTGACAAAATAGGAGGTATTTATTAAGTTTTTATATAGACACATGAAATGTTATGTTTTTGCTTTGTAGGTAAAGGAAAAATAGGATTTTAAGGTCTTATTTATGACTTTTTAAGAACATATTCTTACAAGAAGTAGCTTATTTAGAATTTCTTCTTCTTTTGGTAAAGAGACAATGAATCAAACTTTAATTACACAATGTGATTCAATTTTTCAATAAGATTTACTTTGACAACAAAATGATGAGATAAAAGTTCATTTGAGTTACCTAAAAGAAAAATGGCCAATAAATGTTACTAGTGTTATTGCAATGCCTAATTAAGCTTTTTGTATATGCTTTAGGATTCCCAATATTATTAAATGTTATTTGTTAGACTCATTCATTCATATTTATCAATTAATATACAAAATAATTATTTTAATATTTTTAAAATAGCATCTAACTATAACAAAAAGTACCAAGTTATTCTTTAAGAGTTAGTATTTATCATTTTGTCAATTTAATCCAATATTGAGAAACAACTAGGAAAATAAAATTGAGGATCATCATATTTCAACAAGTTTTACTATTGCTACATTATATGATGGCATCAATATAAAAAAATGGTTGATAAAAAAAATCACGTATGTCATAAGTTGAATATATTAAAAAAATTAAACTACTATTTTTAATAATTTGAATTTATGAATTTCTATCATTAAAAAACTCAAATACTTTCCAATTTTATCCAGAATTATCTGTAAGTTATTTTGATAATACTATATTAGTGTAAAATTAATGTTGAATTTCTAACATAGATGAATAAAACTTAAAGTATTTTTTTGGCTTAAAATAATATATAAATTCTTGTAAACTTGATATTTTGTTTTTCTTGAGTTTTCTTAAAATTAATTAAACTTAATCACATTAATAATTAAATTTACTCAAAAGTGAATGGACAATAAAATAAATACAAACAACTATTTTTTAAAAAATATGTATAAATCAGCATTATAGAAGCTTTGAAAATACATTTTTAAATTTAAAACACAAATATAAGTGAGTATTTTATATTTAATATGTTGGAGATAACAAAAAATTCTTTGGAGCATTATACTTCTCAGAAAATTTGAAAACTTCAATAGTAATTAATGAATTAATTTGATGTAATTTAAATGTGATGTTCATCAATAATTGAAACTACATACTAAATGTTTCAAAAGGAACAATGATCTTGCAGCAAGAACATTAGGCTCCACTACAAGATGATCTATGCAGCACACATTACATTAGAATCATCATCTAAGGCTTCAATCATCATTTTTTTATAGCACCTTCTATCAAGGACGCCAAAGCCCTAGACTCCAATTTCTCAAGATGCTTGAATGCTAAGCAATAAATCATCGGAATGCCTGAGAGAATCGCTGCTCCAGCTGCTCAAGCGATGCACCGCCGCGCGCGATCTAGCACAGGGCCGGCTCCTCCACTCCCAGATCGCATCCATCGGCCTGGAGCAGGACAAATACCTCGCCAATCTGCTGCTCCAGATGTATGGCAAATGCGGCAGCGTGTGCGATGCCGAGGAGCTCTTCTTCCGCAAAATTCATTCCAAGAACCGCTTCTCCTGGAGCATTATGATCTCGATCTACGCCCAGCAGCAGCAGCTCGATGATGCCAGGCACATCTTCGATGCAATGCCGGATGGAATCCGCGACGTCGTGCACTGGAACACGATCCTCACAGGCTACGCAAACAGCGCTTTCCTCTCGATGGCCGTCGCTAGGGCTCTATTCGATCGAATGCCCCAGTGGAGCGTGGTATCTTGGACTGCGCTCATCACAGTATATTCCCAGGGCGGGCATCTCGCGTCATCGAGGCACGCGTTCGATTCCATGCCAGAAAGAAACGTGGTATCGTGGACGGCGATTCTTGCGGCATATACCCATCATGGGCATCTAGAGCAGGCACGGGGAATATTTTCCAGAATGCCTCTGGTGGACCTCGTTGCGTGGAACTCTTTGCTTGCTGGATATTCCCAGGACGGGAATATTGCTGCCATGCTGGATTTGCTAAGCTCCATGCCCGAGAAAGATTCTTTTACGTGGAGTTCTCTATTGGCAGGATATGCTCGGGCAGGGAATCTTGAGAAGGCAAAGGAGATCTTTGCTAAAGTTCCCGATGTGACCTCTTGGACGGCTATGATCACCGCTCATGCCCAAGCATCGGAGATCAACGGTGCTAAAAACTATTTTGACAAGATGCCCCAGCGAACAAATGTCTCGTGGAATGCCATGTTAGCAGCATTTGCCGAGGTAGGGGATTTGGAAAGCGCAAAAGGTATATTCCACAAAATGCCAGATCTAAGCATAGTGTCTTGGAACACAATCCTTTCTGGATTTGCCGTCCAGGGCTGTTTAGAAGAATGTAAAGACATCTTTGAAAAGATGCCAGGGAATAATCTTGTGTCGTGGAACACTGTCTTAACCGCATTTTCTTGCAAAGGGTATTTGGAGGAAACGAGGCAATACTTCGGTGCATTGCCAGAACGAAACTTTATATCGTGGAACATTCTCTTGGGCGCCTTTGCGGAGAATGGCCATGCATTCCAAGCCTTGAACTTTCTCTCTGCGATGATCATGGAGGGATTTATCCCCGACGCGCTGACATTCATGAGCGTTTTGGGGGCTTGTATACACATTGGAGTCTTGATCCTGGCTCGGGATCACTTCGTATCCATGACGTACGATCACAGTATAGTTGCGGAGAGGGATCACTACGGCTGCATTGTGGATCTTCTCAGCCGCGCTGGGAAGCTTGACGAGGCGGAGGAGCTGATCAAAGCAATGCCCTTCTTGCCCGATGCCACGGAATGGGGAATTCTCCTTGGAGCTTGCAAGATCTACAGGGATGTCGATCGAGTGGAGCGATTAGTGAAATTCCTGCTCGAGTCTAATCCCGACAGGCATGGACCTTACGTCCTGGTATCGACGACGATTAGAAGCTCCATAGCCCTAATCTCCCGCGCCAAGAATTTAAATTCGAATTTAGCAAAAGATTCTAAGCCCAAAAGCTTTGACAGGATTAGGGTTCTTGCGCGGCAAAGCTATGGCGAGAGCGGCAACGAAGAGGGCTTTTGATGCAGGGCTGGAGGCCGCCATAACGGCTTACAAGTCTTCGGTGAAGAGAGGTGAGTACGGGCAGGGGCCTTTTACAGTAGCATCTGGAATCAGGGAGAACGTTTACAAGGAAATTCGATCGCGGGAAGAGGATCCATGGCGCTTGAGCTACAACAAGAGCACATCCCAGGTGTTCTTGTATGGCGATCCCAGCCGAGCGCACGAGAGAGCCAGTCGATGGTTTGATGCCAAGATCGGCGCGTATGCCATAGAGAATGGTCTGGAGGATGAATTAGCCCAGTCTGGGGCGGCGACGGTGGATCTTCCAGGCGTGATCAAGGAGCCGGATTTCAGTCTCTTGCTCGCTCGCGATCATCACTGCCCAGCACTGGTGGCCGAGGTGGCATGCCACAACGAGAGCATGGCAGCGCTGAGACGATCGCTCCACGACTGGACTTGCCCAGGATTTGCAGTCATGGCTCTTGGTGTGTCGATTTCTAGAGGATCTGGCCAGGAGAGGATCAAGACAGTGGTGCTCAAGAAGACATGTTGGTCGAGTCTTATTGAAGAGTTTGACATCGTTGATGATTCACCTGAGCTATCGATTGCTGTGGACTTGGCTAGCTTGGGAGATGGCAGCATTCCAGCGCTAGATGGGAAGGCTATTACGTTTGATCTTAAGTCTTTGCGGAAAACCATCCTTGCAGCAACCAATTAAAGAACAAGAGAGAACATAGTCCTAGATTAGAATACGTTGCGAATCATTTTTTACGTTTTGTCCCGACGAGCTTTAGCTTTTAACACGCAATTATGCTTCCAACTATCATTTCTCACAAATGTGGTAAATTCTTCCACCTTGGGTCATGTCAAGAGTGCAAAGTTTGATCCGAGCTTCATGGTCACTCACAGGATCAGCTCTTCAACAAAGAGGATGGTTACATCAAAGTCTTTATAGAAATGTGAGGAGGGTGATTCTGTTTCTGGCGTAATATAAGTATACCAAACGCTCTAGCGGAGGCAGGCCAAGGGCCTGCTACGTGACGGCCATGAAAGCATTCGGAACGGCTAGTGATGTTTCCCGTGCGGAGAAGGTCTTCCAGGAGCTGCTGGAGCTTCCCGAATCGCAAGCACAATCCATACGCTGCTATGGTCGATGTTTATGCGAGGGCCGGGTTGATGGACGAGGCGGAGAAACTCCTCAAGGACAAGGAGACAGGTTTTGGTGTTATGAGCCTCTCGTTGCGGGCTACCTTTTGAAAGGCGATGCAAAGAACGTGAAGAAGGGACCAACAAAGCTGGAGTACAAGTCCGTGATGGGTTTGCTAGCGGCTCTGGCCTTGAGGAGAGACGTGGACGAAGCCGAGAAGGTGATGGGTCACTACAGCTCCCTGTTTGGAGAGGCCCCTGTCTACAACTAGCTGCTCAAAGTCTACATTGCTGCGGGCAAAACTCCGAAAGAACTCAAGGAGAGAATGCAGAGAGGTTTGTGGAGCCCGGCGAGGAGACTGAGATGATGATAGACTGAGGAGTCGAGCTGACAAGAAGAGAGCCGAACGCATGAATCGAACACTTGTTGAGTCTGCTCGTGCGAGGGCGAGGATATTGTTACTCTAACGAAAGGTGAAACCGTGTGATGGAGCTCAAGATCCGTCATAGCATATATGGAATGGAAAATGTACATATGTGTGACATGGGCTCTTGGGATCCAATTTCTTGCGCATTCCATCAGGGATGTGTGCCCACGCTTCACACCCGAATATTCTCAGATGCGTAACTGTACTCCATGCTTCTTCAGGAGTGATGTCAGCAAGGGCAGAGGTGGGGAGCCGGTTCTGGAAATAGTTCGCCGTCAAGACAGCGTGAAACCAGAAGCTGCGAGGCAAACCACTGGAAAGTAGCATTGCCCGAGCACTCTCCACTAGTGTGCGATTCTTGCGCTCAGCTACGCCATTCTGTTGTGGAGTCTCTCGCGTTGTAAGTTCTCGCACAATCCCTCCTTGCTCACACAGCTGGTTGAAAGCATTGGAAGTGAATTCGCCTCCACCATCACTTCTCAATCGCTTAAGCATTTTCCCAGTTTGTGTTTCTCCCATATCCTTGAAAGTCTGGAAGTAGTGTAACGATTGGGATTTGCGAGCCATAGGGTAGTTCATAGTGCGACGACTGTAGTCATCAATGAAACTGATAAAGTATTGGATACCTCCCACTGCTGTGGTGGCCATCGGGCCACACACATCAGTGTGTACAAGTTCCATGAGCTCTGTAGCTCGAGATGCTCCAGTCTTGGGGAAAGGTTGGCGAGTAGATTTTCCTAGCTGACAGCCCTGGCAAAATGGAAGAACGGCTCTTGGGTCCAGGTCTAGACCTTCAACCATCTGCTCGCTTCCGAGCTGCTTGATTCTATCAGCACTAGGTTTAGGGTTTAGGCCTCCCATCCTGTGGTGATGTCCCAGAGGCCTCGTTCATCCATATAGGATTCGAATTTTGTCTTCCAGAAGCGCCAGTTCCTCCCATCAAATTTTGGTGGATTTGCGTCCACTGAAACGATATCCGCTGTAGGCACAGTCGAATTTGTGATGGGAGGGGAAATAGGTGGTGGATTTGGAGGCAGATTTGTAGGAACAGTGGCTGCCATGGGTGCTGACACCCAATCCCACCACTCGTTCAAGTCTAGGTCCAGGTTCTTAGTCGTCCAATGCCTCTTGCAAGGCCTGGAGCGCTTGGATTAGGGCACGCCTCTGTCTACGTAGACGGAGGCTCCGATTCACCCTAGCAAGTGTCGCCCTGATCCTACGGTTTCGTATTCTTCTCGCTCTCCCAGGCATTGCTCCGATACCATCTAACGAAAGGTGAAACCGTGTGATGGAGCCCAAGATCCGTCATAGCATATATGGAATGGAAAATGTACATATGTGTGACATGGTGAACCGGTGAAGACTCGTGTCTCTCCACGTGGACTAGCCACGTGGCACAGGGCCACTCACTGCTGCCTATCTACGCAATCGTCTTCCAACATCTACACTTTCCACTCCAGAAGAACTATGGACTTCTGTCGCACACCTTCGAGTATTGCTTATGCCAAGAACCTGGATCCACTGCCGACGCTTGCATCTCGCAGTATCAAGGGTGTGTTTGTCGGAAGGGCACAAAAGCATACAGAATTTTGTCCTTTCCAGTATTTTCCAGGTCTTTGAACATATATTTCCATGTAAAGAGACTTCTTGGCGACTCGTTGAAGACGTTCCAGTGCTTCCAGCCTCTGTGGGAGCAGCAAGAAAGCCTCCTCCTCCACCTCCTCCACCAATCAATCAGCCGCCTCTATCACCGGCTAAATCTTGAAGAACTTGAGAAACCTCGCTCTCACAGCGAACCTGTAGGATACTCTCGCTCTGGCCGGCCACTCTTTCCATCTCAACGTGCACGGGAAGCCAATGAGAGTCAGCAATATTTCCGGTCACAGTCCAGTCGTTTTTATTTTGCTGGTTCTAATGATGTTCTTGCGCCCAGAACGGTGTCTGAGGCGCTCACAGGTCCTCAGCGAGCCGCAATGGACTCCGAGTATCAATCCCTCATGCAAAATGACACCTGGATGCTCGTTCTAAAGCCAGCTGACAGACAAGTGGTGTCAACCAAATGGCTAATCAGGTCGTTCGGTTCAAAGCCAGGTATGTGGTCCGCGGATTTACACAGATCCCAGGCCTTGATTTTACTGAGACGTACTCACCTGTGGTATGTATGGCTTCTATGCCAGTCTTGCTAGCTTTAGCAGCTCAATATGATCTTGAGGTACATCAGACGGATGTACGCCCAGAGTTCTTGCATGGAGATCTCAATGAAGAAATCTTTGTCCAGCAACCAGAGGGTTATCAATGTCGCCTCAAGAAAGCTTTATATGGTCTCAAACAATCAGTTTCGGAACAGTTCAGGATGAAAGAGAATTCAAGGGAGAGGAACCCAATGAGAATGCAGAGCAGGAGAAGCTTGTGAGCCTATGCGGGATTCTCAACGCTAAGGCCGACACTTCGGAGGTAGGCAAGAATTGGATAGCCAATGGAAATGTGATGTCACGGGACGTTGCTGCTGGTTGGATTCTTCACTGCAGGCACAACGTCCAAGCTCTAAAAGTAAACATTGATTTTTCTATAATGTTTTTCCTTGGAATGTTTGAACTAACTGTTGTATTTTATGTTCTTTGGCAGTTCATGAACGTCGTGAGAGAAGAACGCCTGGTAGAAATGACCTCGAAGCTATACATGCAAGAGATCTCACAGCTATGTCTTCAACTGGGGCCATCAAAAGGCGAGGCTTTGTTCAGAAGCATGCCAGAGAGTTTGAGGACAGAGGAGGTAACCATGGCTTTTCTTACAGCTGTTGCGAAAGAGGACGACGGAGAGATTGATGGACGAGCTAAACGGCTCGTTCTCCGTCGACGCCTTGAACTCGTTTCTACACATGTATCTCAGCACGACAAGCTGCGGGATGCTTACTACAGGTTCAAGGGTTGAAGCCGGTCCTCTTTACGTACTGGCTGGTTCTCCAGTGCTGAGAAAGTTTTGAGAAGATTGAGATGGAGTTCGACGCGGAGCTGAAAAGAACTAACTTCGAAGAGGCACACGGCTACTCAATCTGATAATGCGTTCCTATGCACTCTTGGGAAAGCGGAAGATGGTGGACAGGATGTGGACGCTGCTCAAGAGCGAACAAGTTGCTGCTCCCGACTTAAACAGCTACATCTCCGCCATCAAGTCGTTTGGTTTGTTCGGGGACTTGGAAAAGGCATATGAGGTGCTGGAGGAAGTGCTGCAAAAGTTCGAACGGATTCCTCAAAATCCATACATCTGGATCGTGGAAATCTGCGTGAGGCTCAAGATGATCGACCAGGCGGAGAAGCTCATGGAGAAGCACATCGGCAAGAGCTGCTTTCTTCCCTACAACTTTCTGGTCACTGGCTACGTTGAAACTTCGCAGATCTCAAGCGCGCTCAAGAAGCTGGACGAAGCTTTCGAGATTCCTTTCAAGGACCGGAAGCTATTCTACAAGACAGTGATGGCTTTGCTCCCTGTGTTCGCCAAGAGGGGAGACATACACTCGGCCGAGAAGCTCATTTCCAACTACGGCTCCTGCGGTGACGTGAAAGTCTACAACGCACTGCCCAACGTCTAATTTCTACAAAGAGGATGCCAACCAACTTCCTTCACATAACATAACATTGAACCGAACGAAGAGACATGGAGGCTCATGGACACACTGGAATCATTCTGGGATCACAAGCCAGGACGCTGCACTATCTGGAGAGTCGCGAATGGGCGGAGGATATCTCGGGACCAGCAAATGGCTCACTTTGAGTTCTCCAGGGAAGGAAAAGATGTCAGGAACCGAATTCCAAAGAGCTACAAGTGGAGAAAATGGAGCGGACGATCGATCCAGACATCTGCTCGGGTTTCTCTACGGCAACCAAGAAATTAGCTCGCTAGCTCTTTGTTCTTTTCAAAGCTTCTCACTATAATGAACGTCATCGCGCAGGCTCTAGATGAGAAAGCTGGGAAGGCCCCTGTGGCTCAAGGCTCGACGAGGCCAGCAACATCAGGCATGGAGGTGATGCAAGGTCCCCAAGCCGCTCATCACTCATCCCAAGGACGTGATGGTCAAAGTCACTGCTTGCACTATTTGCTCCGGCTCTGACTGTCACGTCTACGCCGGAGAGATCCCCGACACCTCTGAAGGCCAGATTTTGGGACAATTAAGCCTTCGACCCGGGCGCAAAGAGAAAGACAAGATCTAGTCTATGGAAGACGCACATGGGATGGGCGCCATTGGATTCATGTTCATGCCACCAATGATTCGAAGCTCATGGAGCTCATCCACGGTCACAGGCACTCCGGAGCCTTTAGCTACGGAAACTTGGTTGGTGGCGTCCCGGGATCGCAGGCCGAGTTTGTCGACACCGCAGACATTCTCAACGAGTTGCTTCTGGCGACGAGGAAGTGGGGGCGGTCCGTGATCGCGGACTACGTTGGCTGATGCAATCACTTTGATGCTGATGATGAAGCACGATTAAAAACCCTAGAAAAGGGTTTTTAATCCTCTTCTAATTCTTCATTCTAGAAGCCCTAGAATGACACAAGAGGTTACTGAGATTGTGCGCTTGGGAGCGGGGAGCTTTGCCACAGTTTACGTATGGCAATCGCGGAACAACCTGGCGATCAAGTGCTTGGCAGATGCCAGCCGCTTTCCCGAGCTGCTCGATGAGTTTGAGAATCACCAAAAGATAAGTAAGGCATGCCAGGGCGCGCAGAATCTCCTCTTTCTTGTGCCCAAGCCCGTCGAATTCTTCCCTTCTTTCGCATCACTGGCGGAGCGCCTGCGAATGGATTCGTCGCTGCTGCCAAATATACCCGCCGCGTACACGATGCAGCGAGTCTGGCCAGTCCCCCCTGCTCTCGCGGATTCCATCAGGGCCAAGTTCTTCCCTGCACTCCACTCTAGCTACTCCAAGCCCTTCGTCGCACGGATCTACTTGGGTGCGAAACGCCAGCGCCTGGCGTCTCGATTCTTCAATGCCAATAACTTCCCGCTGGATGCCAATCGTTGCAAGGAGCTGGGGCTGCCGATCGAATTGCTGGCCCAAGAAATGGGTAGACTTCTCGCCAGGATCCACCACCTCGCAGGTGTTTTCAGCTTTGTACTGTTTCATTCGTGTGTTACTTTTGCACTTCTCTAATCCAGGACTGGATGGTCGCGACATCGAGTTCGTCGTGGGTGGTGACGAGCTGAGGACCTTCTCCGACCCCGGGTTTGCCTGCTTTGATTTCAACCAGTGCAAGCCTCACAACAACAATGTGGACGCGCTCGTCGACAGCTTCTTTGTCAATGATCCTTACTATCCCCGGCCTGGCATGGAGTTTTGGGACGAGTTCAAGGACGGGTACTTGCGGGAGGCCGACCGGACAGAGTCTGTGCGGCTGGCGAGGATGTTCTTGGACGTGGTTGAAGCCAAGGTGGCGGCCAAGGCCGCCCAAGAAGCTCCAGAAGGCAGGGGTAATGAGATGGCTCTCTTGGATAGCTGAAAGTAGACCACTCTTTGTTTGAACAAGTATGGCACTATAAAGAAGCTGTTGGTTCATCTTCCACAGGGAAGACTACTCCCACAAAGTGGGATCTTATAAAAATCCCAATTTGTGAGGTAATCTTTAAATTATGAGAAGTTGGTATTCCAGCCCACCTAAAAAGCACTAGCATTACTACTAATCCTTACCACACTCACTCAACCAAAGAGCAAGGACTTCTTGGAGTTCATTGATTTGCTCTTGAGCAGACATCAGGCGACCACTGCTAAAAGCCTTCCCATTCACAAGTGGATCTCGCGAGTAATCTCGATTTTTTTCATTTTGTATTTTTATTTCTTCGTCAGAATTAGGGCTGACGTAGATCAAAACCAAATTAGGGCACGACAGTTGGAAATGCGCGGGAGGATGAGCGATCGCTACGTCGCGCTGCTGAGGCGATGCATCCCAGGCAGGGATCTGGTGGGCGGACGGCCATTGCACGCGCAGATCGTCCGCTCAGGCTTGCACACTGATCTCTCTCGCCGTATGGTGCCTGCAGCGCCATGGCCGTCTTCCGTGCTTGATGAACCGTTCCGACCTCTCTTCATTGTACCCTAGCTAGCCCTAGTTCTTCAGAAGAAGAAGCTCCGAAAGGAAGAAGCATTGCACGCTCTTGCTTGTATCCTACATGGCAGCCACGCCATCAAAGTCTCCTACCCAACGTTTTTTCAGACGGCTGGGATGGCTGTTGATCAATGGTGCCGATTCGAAACCCTTACACCAGATATTCGACGGATATTCCTGCACTGAGAGATCTCGAGCCCCCTTGGAGCAGATCTGTGACGATCACCACCTCCATGCCACTGTGAATCGCTGTGCTGGGAGTCTATGAGCCTCGACCTTCTTTCTCATCAGTGTTCCATCCAAGAAAACAAAAGAGAGCGATAAAGAAAGATAAATTTCCATAAGATGGAGAGGTAAGCTTCTCTCCATCTTCATCTTCAAGTGCTAGGACAATATGTTGTAACATATTGGGGAAGAGACTCCTCATCCACCACCATGTTCCCGGCTCTAATGTGTTATAGCATATTCCTACAATAAAGAAAGATAAATTTCCATAAGATGGAGAGGTAAGCTTCTCTCCATCCTCATCTTCAAGTGCTAGGACAATATGTTGTAACATATTGGGGAAGAGACTCCTCATCCACCAGCATGTTCCCGGCTCTAATGTGTTATAGCATATTCCTACAATAAAGAAAGATAAATTTCCATAAGATGGAGAAGTAAGCTTCTCTCCATCCTCATCTTCAAGTGCTAGGACAATATGTTGTAACATATTGGGGAAGAGACTCCTCATCCACCACCATGTTCCCGGCTCTAATGTGTTATAGCATATTCCTACAGCAAATAACTAGCCTACCATGCCGCACAGCACACGGACTGTCATCTCCTGGAACTCGATGCTTGGCTTCTTTGCCGACAACGGTTGCCACCTTCACGTCCTTCCACACTCATATTCACACACACCCAAGGATGCCTAAAGCACATAAGACCTCAGCTCCAATCCAGGTATTCCTAGAATGCATTTATATAATTTTCATCAAGTTGGGGAGATTAGAGATGAGTGTTGAGGGATTAGCAATTGAAGAAGCAACAGCTGAGGAAATAGCAGATGTGGAGCTACTTGAAGATGATCCAATGTCAAGGCAGAATCGAGAACACAACTAAACTTCAGCTGAGACTCATGCTCTAATTGATCTTAAGAGGGAAGAATATCTTGCAAGGCAGAGCTGAGAGTTGTGAGAAGTGTCAACCAGCTCCAGCTTGCTGGACAACTATTGCAGCCAAGTCTGCAGAGAAGACTGGGTTTGTTAATATTTAAGTATAGAAGAAATATACATAAAAATTAAAGATTAAAAATTAATCACCTTTGACATCAACCCTTACCTTAATGAAATGGTTTGTGCAAATAAAATTATACTTAATTTGATTATCTAAGTATTTTCTTAATGCATGTGCGCAAATATAAATTCACTAAAACACTTAAGGTCCAATACTTCATAAATTTAAGGATAAAGGTTGGTGCAAAAGGGCTTTAAGTGACCTTAGAGAGTTCACTTAACTTTCTATGTAATTTCATAAATTTTAAGATTAATGGTAAGGATAAGGGAAATATGTGCGAATTAAGTCCTCCTTAAAAAAAAAAGATAAATTAAAAGGTAAGGGGGCTTTTAAATTAGTAAATTTAATGGTAATTCATTCACCCCAAACACTATTATATTAGATTTTGTAAACTCTGATTTAATTGTTAAATTTAATAGTAACTTGTTCACACCAGAAATTAATATTAAAGTAAGCTAATGTTACAATTAGCATTTTTTGAATGCCCTATATAATATTCATGGAATAATTTAATCCTAAGGTGTAGCATTAGGATTTATGAAAAAAATGCAAACTTGTGATGCTGCTGCAGCACTCGGGCCAGATTCAAGCTGGTCGTCAATCACAAGTTCAAGGCATCGGTAGCAGTGACACTGTTACAGGTGGAGATCATGTCGTTATTCAGCATGAGGTTAGACAAAAAGTGCAAGGAGCATGGCATGGAGCAGCCACATAAGAGAGGGGGGTATTGTATTATGCATTTCTCCCATCACCAACACACTGATGTGCTCACAGACAAGTGGTGCTGTTGCTGGGGACCATGGGGCAGATCTGCCCAGCAGATTGTTATGCTCGCAAGGGATTGTGGCCCATCCATGGAAACTTCCCCTTCTCACACAAGGTAAAACTCTCAATTCCTGGAAATTTTCATGATTTCTTGCTTATGGAATCCTTCCTCTTCCATAGAGATCTTTATTCTTTCAGTGCCAATGGCCACCACGGCTAAATCCTGCAATATTGATGTGAAAAGAATAACATTAAAATTTTAAATTAAGTTAAAATCTTCTAATGTAAAAATTCTAAGTTAATGGTGAGTGCCCTTAAGTATTGTTACTTAGCCTAAAGGTTTATGTGAAGCAAAATTTCCTTAAATTTCACCTTTAATTTTAAGAGTAAGTGTCACTGTGAAAAGGCTTCATTAGCTGTTCAGTTCTACAATCAGTCTACAATCAGTCACGCTCCTAGCTATTGCTATTGATTCCAGCTAGACTTCCTTCTCACAGTCTAGCAGGGTTCATTGCACAAGGGCTTGTCCATTTGGACATATGGATTTACATGTTTACTATAAGATTTCTATCTTATAGAAGTTAAAATGCACAAAATATGTTTCTACACTACAGCTTAGTTTATACTAAAATAAAATAAATATTTTTAATTATATATCACAATGGATCTCTACACTCTTTGTCATGCTCCTAGCTATTGCTATTGATTCCAGCTAGACTTCCTTCTCACAGTTTAGCAGGGTTCATTGCACAAGGGCTTGTGAGCATGGATTGTGGACGAGGAAGCACATGATCAATGTGCTGATATACTAGACTAGAGGTGCTTGGCAGGAGTTTAAGCTGTTGAATCTTTGTAAGAGTATGAAAAAGAGAGGACTTACAAATCTGTAGGACAAGGCCTGGAAGTATGCAGCCCTGTCTTTGCGCTTCCTCTTCGTGGATGAGGCCAAGAAACTATACGGCCCCAACCACAGCACTGCCAACCGAGAAAGCTTTGCTGCCGCTAGAGCATGCCTTTGAGAGCTACTTAGAGAGCGTTGTTATACATAGCCATGGCCTGCTCGTCTTTGCATGGCACTCAGAGAGACCCTAGACAAAGAAAAACAAGGTTTTGGTTTGTATCAAAAGTCCTGTGCTTGAGAGATAGAGAGCTCGAGCTGTAAATATCAAAATAAGAGCATGGGCAAAAATAAAATACTGGACCATGCTGGAATGACTAACCAAAGGACCCTTCTAGGCAATCTGTTACTTCTACAAACTGTGTTGAAAGATCAAACATTCAGAAACTTTCTGATGTCCATACCTTTCGTTGATCAAGCCTGGAACTGGCCGTGTGTGATGATTGGCTATGACTGTGCCCTGGGTACATGCACAACCATAGCCAATAATGCCATGATGAAGTGGCGCCATACTTGCACCATCGGGTATGGAAGTGGCTATGGTTGTGACCGCCATGGATATGAGTGTCACTCAAGCGGATTCCATGTCCTGTGGATGCCCAAGTACATCAAGGATCAAGCTGCAACCTACTTGGAGAGCCGCTGCACTCTTCTTTGGCGTGCACAAAAGCCCCTGGGCCATGAGGAGATTCCCAAGAGGAATGATATCTTTCTCGCCATGAGGCGATTCCCGAGAACTTCGCGCGTTGCCCTGTCCCTGTGTAGATGTCTCTGTCCAGGTCGACCAGTGCCACCGGATGCTTATCCTGCCAGCTCCGGATGCTTATATGCATGTCTCCAGATGGTGATGCAATTCTTGCGGCCCAGCATTTGCCCAGCCTCTTGAAAAAGAGTGTTAAGAAACAGAGGCTGACGGTACAACCTCCATAGGCAGTGGATTCCCTGCACTAGGGGTCCACTCCTCAGGGCCCTTCAGTTGAGCCCTCCTATGACAAGACTCATATCAATGAGAATCCTGCTCCCCTTTCAAGTCTGTCTAGTATCTTCACACGGGATGGTATTGGACTAACTTGTGATACAAGCAAAAAGGAGGTGTACACGGTGACAAAAGATGGCTCCCTTCTGATTCTTGCGAGTTGAAAGCCTTTACGTTCATGATGATAATATAGATAATGGAGATGGTGAAGACAATGAAGAGGATGCATAGACCACCTAGTTACCTATGACACATGATCAGTTAATTGCCAGTTAAATATGGGACGGTTGAGGTCATTTTAGATCGATGGCTTCGATTTAATTAATACAACAGCCCAGATTTTATACTCAGATTGTTCAGTGTTTTTTAATGCACGGTCTAGATCTTTTCAGCTGGTTCAACGGACGAAGCACTCTTGATGCAAATCTGGAAGCAAATATTGGAGCAAGGAGTGAGAAGAATGTAGATTTGCTTACCTTC